CCTCTGTCACCGGTCTAACCTCATTGTCACAGACCACACACACACCACACATACGTGTCAGTACAGCAGGCCTAGTTCCTTATGTTGACCAGTTTGTTCCAGTCACTTGGCAGTCACCTTACAGAGGTTCTTCACGAAAGAGCTGGTACATGCAAGATCAGGAACTTTGAGAGTGGCTGTGTAGGTCATCACAACCTAACCTTCACCTTTCCCAGGGGAGAAGAGTGATGTTCTCTTCTGTTTACGACCTAGGAAGGACTTGGAGTAATGCTTGCTGCATACTGTAGCATCTCATCACAAAGAAACCATGGACATTCATTTTACCAATGAGGGACCCAACCTCCAAGGTTGGATAACTGTTTCTATACCCCTTTGTCACCTGATGGTCCAAAGCAGACCTCCTGTCCCCTCTCTCCCTGTCTCCAACTGCAGTCTCCCTTCATTGCTGTTCTGGGCTTTTCTTTTCTTGTTTTTTTTTTTTTTTTTTTTTTTTTTTTTTTTTTTTTTTTTTTTTTTTTTGCATTTTTTTTAGCCAGGGCTGGGCTTGAACCTGCCACGCCCAGTATATGGGGCCAGCGCCCTACTCCTTGAGCCACAGGCACTGCCCTGGGCTTTTCTTTTCTTGTGGTCAGGCTTTTCCTCCACCCTGTCCTACCCATCACCTCTCCATGAGGCCACCTTACTACAGCTGATGGCATCCTGCCATTTAACACGGATTATCGTGCAGGTCGTCCATTTAATTTCATATCCAGGACAGCTCCCTCAAGTATCTGCAGATATGCAGGCCTGATAACTACATCTTCAGTGAGGAATTCACTGGCCAACTCATCCAATATAATACGTTTTTCCTTAGCCTACCGGACGGTGCAGTGAACAGTTTGAGGTTGGCATTCTTGGAGAGATCCCGGGGCCCAGGGACTAATAATATGGTTCAGTTTATAGTTTTAGGTGGGTACAGGAAGGGCGAGGGAGATTTCAGGTTTTTCCTCTAGATAAGGAATATGTTAAGATTCAAATTAATTATATCTGTGTTTTTCTTTTTCTGTACAAAAGAAAAAATAATAAATTCCAGGGTTGCTCTGTCTTTTTACTTGTTCTAAAAGACCTGGGATCTCTGATCACGTTAGTGAATATAAGCTGAGTGTCCCTACTCTGAAATCTGTGAGGCTCCAAAACACTCATAGGAAATGCTCACTGGAGGATTTTGGATTTTTAAATTAAGGATAATGAATTGGTAAGTATTTATCATGCAGTTACATATTCTATAATCTGAAACATTTCTGGCCTCAAGCACTTTGGATAGGGGACATTCAACCTGCAGAAAAGGTAAATGGGTGCAGTTCTTACGCTGCGTCTTGTCTACATGCGTCCTCACTTGGGTCTCATGGCAGCTGACTGCTCCAGCCTTTTCATCTCTTTTCCAATAGTTAATAAACATGAGTCTCAAGCCTGGACCCCCATGTCTGCTCTGTTTCTTCCTCACTTATCCTCTCTCTTACCATAGCCATTATCTTGGGGCATGTGGTCCCCCAAGTCTAAACCCTAGTCCATTTATAATCCCTGTACTCCCTCCCTCATCTGTTTCCCAAGGCAGTTGGTCTCACCTTGTCGTCTTGCCACACTCACCAGTGAGGACAGTCACCCAGGCACACCCCAGATTTAGCTTGGTATTAAACTTTTAGCCTCTATGCATTGGGCACCTGCTAACCTGTCATAATCCCTGGCACTAGAGTTGCACCCGTGAACAAGAAAAGCCTTGAGCAGGGCTAGGCCTGCCTGCAGGCCTCTTGGGCCCTGTTTGTCTCATGTCCGGGATGACCGCTGTTCTCCACCCCCATTTCTGCAGGTTCACACTGTCCATTCTGCCAGGTCCTCCCTGTTTGTGGCTTGCTTACCACATACGCTCTTTCTCAGAACCCCTGGCCGGAGGTGACCTCTGCTGCGGCTAACCTTCTGCTGGTTTTGCCTTTTTTCTTGCATTACAATCACTTGAGTATTTTCCTCTCTCTGTATAGGCTTTGCGTATAGGCTTTCAAAGCCAGAGACTAGGACTTGGCGCTCTCTGCCTCTTCCCTGCTGTCTAGCATGACATGACTGAGTTAAGTATGTGATAAACGTGTACTGAGCAAATGCAGGAATTCATGAAAGTTCACTTAAAATTTTCCTCCCATGGTTTTTGGCTGTGTGTAACTTGCTCTTTATTTTTAATCCTCAAAGTTTAATCGAATTGGTTTTCTTTTTCTGTGAGTATATACTAGGCGCACAGTAAATAATTTTGAGTCCTGATTATAACAGAATTGCAGTGGGACGAGAACGGGGAAATGTTTATTTTTATAGGCATGTTTTCTTAAATTACACGGTTCAGATATTATCCAAACAGAAAGGTATCTTAGAAAATTACATGTTTCAAGTTCTTATCACCCTTATTTTACTTACGCTAGTTAATAAACTAAGAGTGTGTATCTGGGACTAAGCTGAAGTGTAAAGAAGACAGGTTCAGATCTGGGTTTGAATCCCAGCTCTGCTGTCTCCTGACATGCAGCCTGGCCCAGTTACTTAATTTCTCTGCATTTCAGCCCATGTCTCTGGCTGTCGGGATCTTGATAGACTGTTTCTTGCTCATCTTTGAATCTCCCGTTCCTAAAACAGTGCTTTGTTTCCAAGTATTCACTTAACATTGGAGGAGCTGATGGAAAGGAGGACAGAAATTATCCATCTTGTTGTCTGTTCTGCGTGGAGGGTTAAGAGTGATGACGGTAAAAACAGAGAAGGCTCCACCCAGAGCCATTTTTAGTTTTCTTTTCAAGTTCAAAAACTAGTATTTTATTGACAAGGTGATTTCCTGGATCTTATGGCAGCTATATTCTTCCTTACATCACATTTACATGTATGTGCCTGGGCGTGCCATCCTCAAACCTAGGGACTGCATTGGGGTTATGGCAATCCAGTTCATTTTAAGATAACTGTGTTTTGTTCTAATGCATGCCAAAACAGTAATAAAGACATCGTTTTATTTTGCATTTTTTAAATGTTACTTTACAGAAGTTAAACTTTAAGTTCTAGTAAGTTTTCAAGCATTATAACAAATGATCACAGTTCGGTCACCCTTAAAATGGAAAGCTCTTCTAACAGAATAAACTGCAATCATTACATTGTTAATACTTAAGAGGCTTGGAATATTTGGAGCAAAATGATCTTTCCGTGGCTTATATTGCTAATTGAGGGCATTAATTTCTTGTGGCTCTGCCTTTTCAGATTCTGGTCAATACCGACAACTCTTGGTTTCAGTGGCACATCATGCATTTTCAGACACAGAAGGGAAATGGGAAAGATTGACTGTTCACTTAAATGTGAATCCATTTAGTAGAACGTTGAACAAGGACAAAATACGCTAGTAGTACTTTTTCCCATTCAAAATGGAATGGAAAAAGCCTTTACAGTTAAAGAACGCACCTTCTACCGATTTTGAGGTTTTAAAATTTTACTTGTTGCTTCTGCAGACTAAAAGTGCACATTTTATAAATTTAATTCACTTATTTACTTAGTCGTTAGCAAGAGGGAGACCTGTATTTTAACATTGTATTTTATTTTTCCTTCAACATCAGGAGTGGTTATGCCCTCTAATGCTATGCTTAAGTAAAATTACACATTCGGGGCACCTAAATTGGCATGCCAAATTATAGGACATTTTAATTATTATGTGGATGTGACAGATTCATTTATTCTTGAACTCTTTTGAGAAAGCAGCCCTTCGCAGTGATTCACAGTAGTAAACAAAAGATTAACAGGAAAATGCCCTTTATGAGACTTAATAAATGTGTCTGATTAAATGCCATGGGACAGAATTAACTGCAATATTTAGATGTAGAAAAACAACCTGTGTCCTGCTCTGAGTCTCAGCATATTCTCTTAAGATAAATTTACTCTAAATAGGGCCTAAGTGAAGAACTAAGTACCACTTAACATCAGAACTATTTTCCTAGGTACGTCATTTGGGCCAATTGTTTCAGGCTCTTTCTTCCCTCTGAAACCATTAACCAAAGCCACTAATAAGCAGAAATGCAGAGTTAAGAGCCCCTTCTCTCTCTTTCAATTTCCAGTGGACACATTAATGAGCAATAAAGTGGCTAAAAGGCAGGCAGCTGAAGAAAGAGAGAAAGAAGCAGGCAGAGATGATTGTGGAAACAGATACCCAGACCCTCTGCAGTACAGATCAGGCTGCCCCCCGTGCCATCTGGGCCTGTGATCAGTGGAATTTCGAGCTCAGTTTCTTAATTACTTCTTTAGTTTTATCCAAAGAGAAAATTGGATTTCTAGAGATTTCTTCTGTACAGAGAGCAATTATGCTAAAGCAACTTAGGTAGCAGCGCATCTGGCTAGCATTTCATTCTTGGAATGATAGGCTCCACCCAGAACTGACTTCAGGACGGGCTTTGACCTCACTGACAAGGCTCGGTCTTAGCAGCTGACGTTGTCTAGGGTCCTATAGAAATTCCCGAAGCATTTAATTCTCTTCCAAATATCGCTCAGATTACGTCAGACCTGCTTGGAGATTAATTTGCTGTCAAGTCTTCACCATCTGGTTTTTATGATCTTAACCCTTCATTTTAGATAAATAGAGTTTGATTTTCTTAAATCAAGACGTTTCCAACTCTGAATATATGTATAAAGAGCCCTCAATGCTTAGAGTCTGAGAGTTAGTTGAAAGCACCAACTGATAACAACCCAAAATGCTACAGGACAGCCAAGTGCCCGTAATCACAGCCTGAAACTTTCATTTTCTTCCTTTCCTATAACATTATAATAATAAAAGGTCAGGTTAGGCCTTTGTTTGCTCTATATCACTGGGTAATCAAACCACTTAAACACCACGCAGACTTACCACCCAAATAGATCGTCTGTATTCTCCCTCTCCTGGCCCTTTCCGAAATATTGTCTGAGTTATAATATGTTGCTGCAAAACATTGTGTTTCAATGGGCTTCTTTCTGCTGATTAACAGGTTTTGGATTCAGGAAGACTGAAAGAATATGATGAGCCATATGTTTTGCTGCAAAATAAAGACAGCCTATTTTACAAGATGGTACAACAACTGGGCAAGGCAGAAGCCGCTGCCCTCACTGAAACAGCAAAACAGGTGAGCGTGCTCCAGGGAGTTGTAATTAAAGTTTGTCTCAACAATTCACTCCTCACAATTTGGCACCATGGGGATGGTAACAAGCACTGTGTGCCCTTTTCAATTATAAGCCTCCAGAGCCAAAGCTTCGTGACTGGGCCTTAACAATATGTCCCAGGCTGAAGTCAGGTCTGCGAAGTGTCTGCTGAAGCAGGGTAGTGGAGTGTGTGTGTACAAACATGTGCAAGCAGGTGCGCCCACGAGCGAGCGAGATTGCAGACTGGGCTCTTTACACAGGGAGACTCTGTGGGTTCAGATTCTCATACAGAATGGCATAGGGCACATACAAGATTTTACAGACCCGTTGCATTTTATTGTTACCCAAAGCACTTAGCACATTTGAGATGCAAATGCTGTTGAGATACATCCAGACAACTTGAAAGCTTATGAAAGAAATGGGGACTATTCATCTAGAAAGATCTACCAGGGAAAAATGTAGATCGCTTTTGAGTTTTGTTGTGTCTATAATTTATAAAGATACCCCCGTATGATACTGTCACTTTCTCCCTCGGTTTCTCTCTCGCTCTTTGTCTTTGAGAATTAGGTCTAAATACCCCTTTATGCTTCCTCTACCTTCCTCTAGAAGATAAAATTGTCATCAGGACAAATCAAGAATATATAATACCTCAAGGCTATCGTCTGAATAGTGCTCAAAGGTTTACATAACATCAAGGATGTTGAGGTTTTGTGATATTTTTCCAACAGTGGTGATGTAGAACTAGCTCATCCTACAGGCGAGATAACGGGAGTCTGGTTTCGGGAGTTAGCCAGTTTCATGCGGCCACCTCTAATTCTCTCTTTTAATTCTGAGAGGTGGGAGTTGCGTGGATGGAAGAACGGGAAAATCTGGTGTTCTTGCCACTTGATACGCATGACAGAGGGTGGGATGAGACTTCCAAGGGCACATGGTGACACTCATCATCAAAGCTGCTTAACTCGAGGCATTATAATATGGGTATGGGTTTACCAGATTTTCAATACCATGCGTTGGAGTAAAATTGCTTGTTTTGTATAATATTTTAAATATTTATCAAAGACAACAGAGTAAGAAATATTTTGCTATTTAATGGTCCTTCTGAATGAAAGCTATATGTAAAATATAGCCTAGGTTCCCTTCCAGCGCTATTTCATTTCATGCCTCCTTAGAATGAAGGAGCAGTGCTTTCTACCATCTGTAGGATATTTCTTTGGATCCTACTTGCATCTTCAAAAGTGTTCAGTAAATGCCAGTGTGTGCACAGTCGTATGCTGGGCACTAGAAGGTGTGTTAGCTGTGCCTGGAGTCATTGACAACATGGATGAAAGAAGAGAGATGAGCAGAGATTTATATGTTGAGTCACAGACTATGGTGATGAGACTGCCACTGACGGGCCATGCTCTGTGCTGTGATAAAGGTTCTCTTCTCATTATGCCTAAGAGGCTGAGGTTTGGAGGAAGGAGGGAATTGCCCAAGACCTCATAGCTGGCTGAATCATTGGCAGAGTCCAGGTTCAATCTAGGATCAGGGAGGACAGAGCCTGTGTCTGAACTTTTCCTAAGAATCACCTTATGTCTTAATGAAGAGGGAAGCTGTATTTAAAGCACTGCATTTTTGTTTTATGCCTGAAATTTATGGAATACCTTTTATCTTCTAGAATATCTCCCAAAGCTTCCCTCATAAAACCTGATCAATCATTTGGCATTCCCTGTGTAATCTGTTTACAAAACAGCCAGGAACCTTCAAAACCCTTTTTGTTCTTTGACACCTCAGGCATTTCACATCAAACACGTGTCCCCACCTACATGTCAGAGTCCCCATTTTAAAGTTGTATTTTATATTATTAAGGCATTGAAATGTAAGAAAAAGTGAATGTTTGAATTTTAGATAGCTCCAGCTAACCCAAAATAATAGGGTTCAACACCCTTGTTTTTACAGATGAGGAAACTATGAAATAGTTTATTCCCACAAATTGAGGTGGCATCGTGTTAGACTAGTTTATAGCAGAGACAGTGATACTAACATTATAGAAAGCTTTTCTTCTGTTTTACTCCAAGTATAGCATGCGTGCCAAAAAAGCACACAGGTCGTAGAATTAGAGATCTCTTAATTCCTAGGCTGGTAGTCTTTCATCTAATTCAATAGCATTAATAATAACTTACTTTTGTAAATTCTTTTTAGTTTATTTTTTTTTTAAAAAATTTTTATCAATAAGACTGTTTTATGAAAGGCTCTCACAATCTTGGCACAGAGCCGGTCGGGGAACAGAAGGCAGATCACTGGGCGAGGCTGGTGTGTTGCCCTGGTTACCACATTCTCTGCCGTGTTTGAAAACACTGCTCCTTGTTTCATGTGGTATCTAAGGTTAGGCCGTCACCCAAATTCACAGGGTGGCAGAACATCCCTCTTGGATTTTGTTCCTGCCTAACCATTGCCTCAGGTCACCTCTACAGAAAGACATAAGGAAACACATATCTTGACTCTCATCTGAGTTGAGTATCTTTCTACATACACTTGGTCCTCTTAGCAGAACGAGCTGTCAGATTGTCAACCTTTTAAATGTACAAACATCAGATATCAATGCATCATTCACAACAGTAACACTGTGAGGATTAGTCTAAACCAACAAGCTTTTCACTTGAACAGATTAGAATTCATCTGTTTGAAAAGAGAACTCAACATCTGGGAAAAGGAGCTTCCAAGTCATGTATCCTTGACCCTGTAGTTGCTGATCTGAAAATGGTGCAGGCAAGATGAATCCCTCTGATCGACCTTTATAGGTGACTCATAGGGAAGTGTTCTGTAGATACATAAAGATACCATAGCTCAGTACCACAGACGAGGTGGCTTGAACAATAGAAGTTCATTTTCTCGCAGTTTTAGAGGCTGGGAGTCTGGGATCAAAAATCAACAGGGCCAAATTCCTCTGGGGACTCTGTTCTTGCTTGTGGACGGTCACCTTCCAGCCATGCGTTACTTACATGGTCTTTCCTCTGTGTCTGTGTCCTAATTGTCTCTTCTTATAAGGACACAGGTCATACTAGATCAGGGCCCACCTAATGATCTCATTTTCATTTAATCACCTCTCTGAAGACCCTGTCTCCAAATATAGTCACATGCTGAGGTGCTGGGGTTTAGAACTGCAGCTTTGGAATTTGGGGAGGACATGTAATTCACCCCTACAACAAAGGGTGAATAATGCCTGTTATGTTTATTCCTGATGAAGGAGACTCGAGGCTTTTATCGTTCCCTTGTTCCACAGAGCATGTCCATCTGTGGAATCCCCGATACAGCTCAGAAATTAGGAAATCCCTGACATCGTAGGTTCTAAGAATCTGCACCTGTTTGGATAGGGGCAGAAGGCACTTAGTAGCCAGTGGCCTTGTATACGTCACCCGAGGACTTGGAGCCTCTGGGTTCTCATCATAGTACAGGGACTGAAGCATTGCCCTGGCTTCCTCGTCATCATGGGTTTTAGATAAAGTAATATATATTTAAGGGCTTAGAAAGATATAAAGTGTTTTACAAATACAAGCCAATTGTACTTATTGACGATAAAAATGTGATCATTTTTTAAAGGCTGTAGACTGAACACTTGCTTCCCAGTAATAAGTATTGGGGACGTATTGCTTCCCCAAATGAAGTATTCTAAGTTCTTCTAAGTAGCTTTAATCTGATGCTGTCGCCTCAGGTAGAACGCAGTGGCATCATCATAGCTCACTGCATTCTCAAACTCCTAGGCTCAAATGATTCTCCTCCCTCAGCTTCCAGAGAAGCTGGGACTACAGCTGCCACCATGATACCTGGCTAATTTTTCTACTTTTGGTAGAGATGGGGTCTCACTCTTGCTCAGGCTGGTCTTGGACTCCTGAGCTCCAGCAATTCTCTCACTTTGGCCTCCTAGAGTGCTACGCTTATAGATGTGAACTGTAATTCCTGGCCCAAAATTATTTTTAGTAATCAGCTTAACAACTAATACATACTAATGCTACAAAATTCAAAAAAACTATAGTTTTTCTTTAATATTTTTTTTTTGAGACAGTCTTACTTTGTCACCCTTGGGAATGTCACAGCTCACAGCAACCTCAAAGTCTTGGGCTTCAGTGATTCTCTTGCCTCAGTCTCCCAAGTAGCTGGGACTACAGGTGCCCACCACAATGCCCAGCTATTTTTTTGTTGTAGTTGTCATTGTTGTTTGGCAGGCCCAGGCTGGGTTCAAACCTGCCAGCTTTGGTGTATACGGCTGGCATCCTAGCTGCTGAGCTACAGGCACTGAGCCTTTTCTGTAATATTTATAAGTAAAAAATAAGTCATTCTCCCATTCCTGTCGCCCATTCTTTCAATATCATGTTTCTATAGTTTTGCTGATAATATTCAGTAAACAAGACCATGTCGATATATGGCCTTTCTGTTCTTCAAGAACAAATGATATCTATTTTTTATTTTATTTCATTTAATATTATATTTCAGATTATATCAGTACATAGTTATCTCATTTTTAACGGCTACTTAGTATTTCTACTTTCTCAAATCTCTACAGCCCGTTTTAATGTTCCAATTAAATCAGCTGTTGTATTTTTCACATTTTTTCCTTCAAAGAATGAGCTTTTGGGTTTATTTACTAGTTCTTATATTCTGTTCAATCAATTTCTGCATTTGTCTTTGTTAATTCCTTACCTTTGAAGTTTATTTTGTTGCTTGCTTCTTGAATGCACTTGTATCTGTTCTTTCTTATTAACATGAATATTTTAAGGCTGTGAGTTTTCCTCAGAAGACTGCTTTAACTCTATCCTATAGATTCTCATATACAGTGGCTTTCATGGTAGTTCATTTTACATACACATGCAATTGCATATTTATAATTTTGTTTTTGATTTTTCTCTTTGGGTTAGAAATTGAGAGATTTTAAAAACTTTTTCTGAGAGGTGTTGTTTTCTTTTTCTTTTTTTTTATTGAATGGTAACTATGTACATTAATGCACTTT